AAGAAAAAAATAAAAAAGTTATAAATAATAATAAATTGATTAATAATAAAAATATTAAACGTAAAATATTTAAATTTTTGAAAAATAAAGTTTTAATTTTATAATCATCTTGAAATATTATTAAGTAGTTTAATCCATTTTTTTAATGATGAAATTACTCTTCTAAGAACATCTTTCACTAAGTTATTATGTTTCATCCTAACATCACATCTTTTAATATTTTTAGTTGTATTATCATTTTATTCATGATACTTGGATAATTGTTAATACCAAAAAATAATAATAATAATAATACTTGGGTAATTAGATCAAACTTATCATAATTTCTTCTTCTTTCTCTAGAAATTAGGGAGTATGAATTAATAGAAGGAGTTATCAATAGAAAAATTAATTAAGGATGATAAGTATAATATTTAAAAATAATAATAAAAAATAAAACAAATGAGTCAACCCATTAACACACGGGTTGACCCTAACCCGACCCGTAACCCGTACGGGTTGATAATACGGGTTATCTACGGGTTGCGGGTTGAGATATGTAGATCCTAACCCGTTTTTTAAGGGCCGGGTTAGGATCGGTTTGACGGGTCGAGTGAATTTTTGCCAGATCTAATGTTAATGAAAAAAAAAGCCTAATAATTTATTACAAGAAAATTAACATTTCATGACAATAAAATTAATTTAAAAAAACCATATTTTTTTTAAAAGAATTGAATTTTACTTTTGACATGACAAAAGATTTTAAATATTTTTTTACCTATTTTTTTTATTATCTAATGATTTTATTTGACATTAAACCCATCTTAAATGACCTCCAATTTTTTTCATAGTGAAGCCATCAATCACATATATACTTAATAAAGCAAGATATCTAAAAATATAACATAATATTTATAATTAATATTATTTTTATACAATAAAAAAGTACATAGACCACAGTCTCACAACTAAAAGCAAAAAAATATGATAATCCAACCAAATAGAACAGGGAAATTAGAAGTTCCAACTAACATATAACCAAAGAACAAGCTAAAGAATTTCGAGTTGAAGGGGAAACTGCTCACTTATGTTCCAAAAAAATCAACCAACTTGCTCTCCACCATACAGCCAAGGCTTCATTTTTCTGTTGAAAGATAATCCCGCAGCATGATTCAACAAATAAATATCTACGATGGGAAACTGCGACAATCCAAAATATGAAACTGCCATGCTAGCTAACACAATTATGGGAATGATTACCGCCCGTTGATGTTTTAGCATAATCCAAAGAGCAGCAGAAAAGCTAACCATCATTGCTGCAATAGAAAGAAGAGTACTGCAGAGGAGAATGACCAACAAACTGGGTAAGTACTCGAGAAAATCGTCCGGGACGAAGCGCGATGCTAGGATTTCCAAAAATATTATGACTGAAGTTGATGCAGCAAAGAAGGAAATCGCATCAGATATTATAAATATCATAAATGATTTTTTCTGTAAAAAATTGGGAAACCCATCTTGAGCATTGCCGCCTGGAAGAGTAATGGCTGCAGCAAACGCGATCGTAATAATGAGAGTACCAACAACAATAAAAGAACTTGCTGTCTCCCTCATCCATTTTTCCCCCTTTTTCACTAATTCTTTATGGCTCTTTGAAAATACTTCATAAGGGGTTTCACCATTGCTATTTTTAGATTCTTTGCACCATTCTGGAACAAATTTTCCCACCTCCTGCATTCGGTTAACAAAAGTACACATCAATTTTTAGAACAACAATTTAGGTTTTATTTTTAAAACAAATAAACAAGTTACACTTACTTTACATATAAACTTTTGAGAGAATCAGAGTCCATTTCGCGTATAAAAATAAATTAAAATAAATAATAATAGTAATTTTAAAATGCTATAGTTAAGTGGACAAGTAAGATGAAAACCTTAAACCATTGTAGTTCTCTTTGCATCTGCAATGCAGGGCTGAGACTTGGGCAAGTTGAGAGAGAGGAGCTATCTCCCCTGCCACATGTAACATATTATTCCCTTTTCTATCCGTCTGACTAAGAATATGGGCTTTCCATTCCTCATTAATGCCATATAGGAGGTTGAAAATGTTTACTTGGCGATATTGGATTGCTGTCATGAAAACGTGTCTGCCATCATTATTATAGTAAGTGAGTGGCTGGCTTACTTTCAATAGCTCAGCGACGAATCTATCCATGCCCTGCTTGGTAGCTTCAAACATTGCGTCAACTACTCCACAAATCCGAAGACGTTGGGCTTTTAATGTTGAAATATGGTTACACATACACCGAAAAATCTCATCAGTGTAGTGATGCGTCAACTTCAAATCATAAATTTGTTCGATTCCTAAGTAAATCAAGAATCAATTAACATATACTATGAAAGGCATAAAAATAAAATAATAAAAGTATAAATGCTAAAATACATAAAAAGTAAGTTTCATAGTTGAGGGTGGGTTACCACTTGTTAAGGAAAAGTTCTCTGCAATCTCTTCATGAGCAATTCCCGCTCCTTATTTATGTCAATCTTTGATTTAGTGTCAATCTTTGATTTAGTGAATATTATATTATGTTTCCTTTTGTAATAGGGTTACTAAGTTTGTGCGCCTGTATATATAAGTGTTTTATACACATGAATAGAATCAAGTTATTCAGAATTCCCTTGTTCAAACTCTATTAGTGGTATCAGAGCCTCCCTCTCAAATGAGACCATGGCTCACCAAAACTCCATAAACAAGCCTAGCAACCGTACTCCCTTGGCATGTCAATTGTGTAACAAGTCAGGCCACACGGCACAAAATTGTTCCCACTTTAGTATATTGCCTAACTCACCTATGGCAACTTTTACAGCTATGTCTCATAACTTCGCTAATAATTGGCTCATTGATTCAGGTGCAAATAGTCACGTGACTTCCGACTTGGCGAACCTAACTCTACGTTCCCAGTACACTGGTCCTGATAAACTCTTAATCGGTGATGGCTCAGGATTGGAAATCACACACGTGGGACAAACTATAGTTTCCACACAAAATACATCTCTTCCTTTAGACAATGTTTTATGTGTACTCGATGCTTCTAGAAATTTAATTTCTGTCCATCAATTATGCATATCAGCCAATGTTATTGTTGAATTTCATGCTACTCATTTTTTTGTGAAGGACCGCAGCACAAGGGCAATATTGCTTCGTGGACAAAACAAAAATGGGGTGTATGAGTTTCCTCTCATGGACCAATCTAGATCACAACCAAGTGCTTTGGTGGGTGAACATACCTCTTTGATAGATTGGCATGCTCAGTTAGGACATCCATCCTCAAAGGTTCAAAATAAAATTTTTAGTGAGAATAGCCTACCGACATCATCCAAGGTAGAGCCTTTTTCTTGTGATTCTTGCCTTTGTTCAAAGAGTCACAAGCTATCTTTTGGTCATTCTTCTGTCAAGAGTCAAGCACCATTAGAAATTATCTATTTGGATGTTTGGGGTCCAGCTCCTTTTTTATCTATTGATGGTTATAATTATTTTGTTTTGTTCATCGATCTTTTTAGTCATTATATATGGCTCTTCCCTTTAAAACAAAAATCAGAAGTTTCTCCTATTTTTCCTAAATTTAAAGCTTTAGTTGAAAACCAATTTGGCACAAAAATCAAGAATTTCTATTCGGATGGAGGAGGTGAATATATTGGATTACGAAAATTCCTTTCTGAAAATGGAATCTCTCATTTCACAACACCTCCTTATACTCCTGAACTTAATGGTATAAGTGAGCGCCAAAATCGACATATTGTTGAAACTGGTCTCACTTTGCTTCACCAAGCTTCTTTGCCACCTAGATTTTGGTCTCATGCTTTTCTCACAGCAATATACTTAATTAATTGGTTGCCCTCCTTTGCTCTTTCATTTAAATCTCCATTTGAAAAACTATCTTAGATAAAGCTAAATTATTTAAAACTTCGAATTTTTGGTTGTGCATGTTATCCTTGGCTTCGCCCATATACACAAAACAAGCTTCAATTTCGCTCTCATCAATGCTTATTTCTTGGGTATTCTATAGAAAATTTAGGATATAAATGTTTTGATTTCCAAACAAATAAAATCTTTTATTCTAGGCATGTTTTATTTAATGAAAAAATTTTCCCATTTAATTCTCACAAGTCTGACACCACATCCACTTCTCACTTTAAAAATTCATTTTTTGGTTCCCATCTTTTCTCCTCTGAAACCTCCTCACCGACCATGCCAATCTCCATTAAGCCACGTCTACCTTTAAGGTCTTCCCCTTTGTCCACTTGGCAAGGATCATACCCCATTGCTGCAGCTTCCTCTAATCCTCTCCTTGGTCTATTCCCCACTACCATCACCGTACCCTCCACCACCAACTCCCTATCCAACCACTCCGTCTCACCCTCACGTCCTCCTTCTCTGTCTCAAACTCCATCCACTCCCTCATCCAACTCACCCGACTCACCCGACTCCCCCAAATCACCCATCACTCACTCGTCGTCCCCCTCACCTACTACCTTACCAACCATTTCTCCAGCATCTTCCCCTGCTCACACAAGCCGCCCCCAATCTCCATTCTATTCCACCGCCTCACCTGCATCCAGTCTTAACAACCATATGTCAGCCCCTGCCTCATCTTCTCCCCTTCAATCGATAGATCCACCCATCCACACTCATCCCATGGTAACTCGTTCTCAAAACCAGATTTTTAAACCAAAGCAACTCTACCTTGCTGAAACTCCCTATTCGGAAGTTGAGCCAACATGTGTGAGTCAAGCACTGAAAGATCATCGGTGGAGGCAGGCCATGTCTGAGGAATTCACTGCTTTGGTAAGTCAAGGTACATGGGATCTTGTTCCTCCTGCACCTAACCAAAATATTATTGGTTGTAAGTGGGTTTTCAGGTTGAAACGAGGCAAAGATGGACGAGTTGAACGTTATAAAGCCAGACTTGTAGCTAAGGGGTTCCATCAACAACCGGGGACCGATTACACAAAAACCTTCAGTCTAGTTATCAAACCGACAACAATCCGAGCCATTCTCTCCATCGCTGTAAGCGGGGGTTGGAAAATTCATCAGGTAGACATTAACAACGCATTCCTTCACGAGAAACTTGATGAACAATTATTTATGCAACAACCTGCTAGGTTCATTGATCCTCATCTTCCCCACCATGTTTGTCGGTTACAAAAATCTCTCTATGGGCTTAAACAGGCCCCAAGAATGTGGTTTCGAGAATTAAAACAGTTTCTGCTTGCTCACGATCTCACCAATTCGAGGTCAGATTGCACCCTTTTTATTTATCGTCAGAATACTGATTGGCTCTATGTCTTGGTGTATATAGATGACATACTCATCACTGGAAGCAATCCTATCGCTATTGACAATTTGATCACTGCCATGAGTTCCAAATTTTTCGTGAAAAAGCTTGGTGAACTGGATTTCTTTCTCGGAGTGGAAGCCATTCAAACTAGTGCTGGCTTATTTCTTTCCCAGCAACGGTATATTCAAGACATTTTGCAATGAGCGGGCATGGACAATGCCAAAGCAGTAAGCACACCCCTCTCTTCCACAACATCTCTTCAGCAATTCTCAGGTCACTCACTCACCGACCCAACGGCATATAGACAAATTGTTGGTTCCTTTCAGTATTTATCTCTAACTCGGCCAGATTTATGCTTTGTTGTTAACCTGCTATCTCAATTCATGCATAATCCTATTGATCTTCATTGGCAAGTAGTAAAACGTGTTCTTCGCTATCTTAATGGTACAAAATTTCATGGCCTTCTGCTTCGTCCACAAACCTTTTTGTCTCTTCATGGTTTTTCTGATGCTGATTGGGCTGGTGATAAGGACACCTCAATTTCCACAACTGGCTATGTGATGTATCTTGGCTCCAATCCAGTGTCCTGGAAAGCAACCAAACAACGAGTTGTAGCACGAAGCTCAACAGAGGCAGAGTACAGAGCACTAGCAGCAGCTAGCTCCGAAATGGTTTGGATTCTTAATCTTCTTCATGAGCTTGGCATCCATCCTTCCACACCCCCTGCGCTTTACTGTGATAATATAGGGGCAACCTATCTCAGCAGCAATCCAGTCATGCATTCTCCCATGAAACACATTGCCATCGACTTGCACTTTGTTCGTGACTTAGTGGACCACAAAGTCCTTCGAGTTTCTCATATCTCTTCTAAAGATCAGTTTGCTGATGGACTTACCAAGCCCTCATCCAGTGCTCGCTTTACTTATTTGAGGTCCAAGATTGGCGTCGCAGATGGCTCCTCCATCTTGCGGGGGTGTGTTAAGGAAAAGATCTCTGCAATCTCTTCATGAGCAATTCCCGCTCCTTATTTATGTCAATCTTTGATTTAGTGTCAATCTTTGATTTAGTAAATATTATATTATGTTTCCTTTTGTAATAGGGTTACTAAGTTTGTGCGCCTGTATATATAAGTGTTGCATACACATGAATAGAATCAAGTTATTCAGAATTCCCTTGTTCAAAGTCTATTACTACTTACCACGGAAATTTTGGTGCATTAAGTTCATGGCCAATCTAAGAAGCCCATCAAATACTTCATTAATAAATCTCTGTTAGAGCAGGAAAACAATACAAAAATTTATTTTAGTACTACATTATCATAATTAATATTATTTTATATAAATTCACATAATTTTAAGTATTTAACTCTTAAATAAAATATCTTACAAAATATTTTTTCTCTAGTATATATATATTTAAATAAAATCTTCTTAAAAATTATACCACTATTAATTTATCCAATTCATTTTAAAAAAATTAAATTAAAAAAAAAACCAAATACCAATAAAATAAAAAGTTTCACTTCCTGAAAAGTACGACCTGATAAATGAAAAATTATATTACCTAACATAATTAAAATGAAAAAAGGAAGAAAAAAAAAAGAGAGCTGTCTCTGCGTACAGAGATACCTCTCTTTTATAACAGAATTTTAATAGAGTTTTAGTAAATTAAAATTTTATTTTTATTTTATTTTTAAAAAAATAATAAGAGAAAACTTCCATCATGTGTACTGTTATGTATAGGGTGATTTAAAACAATAATTATAAGTACATGATTTCCATGCCCCGATCAAGTGGCTTGTTCCCCTGGTGAGGTTGAGGGTTTCGATTCACAGGATTGTTAGTTTCC